AGGAGGAGTATGGAAGAAGTGAATGTTTTCAGATACTTGGGAGTTGACGTGTCGGCGGATGGATTTATGAAGGATGAGGTTAATCATATAATTGATGAGGGAAAAAAGGTGAGTGGTGCGTTGAGGTATATGTTATCTATGGAGGCAAAGAAGGGAATGTATGAAAGTATAGTAGTACCAACACTCTTATATGGATGTGAAGCTTGGGTGGTAAATGCAGCAGCGAGGAGACGGTTGGAGGCAGTGGAGATGTCCTGTCTAAGGGCAATGTGTGGTGTAAATATTATGCAGAAAATTCGGAGTGTGGAAATTAGGAGAAGGTGTGGAGTTAATAAAAGCATTAGTCAGAGGGCAGAAGAGGGGTTGTTGAGGTGGTTTGGTCATTTAGAGAGAATGGATCAAAGTAGAATGACATGGAAAGCATATAAATCTATAGGGGAAGGAAAGAGGGGTAGGGGTCGTCCTCGAAAGGGTTGGAAAGAGGGGGTAAAGGAGGTTTTGTGGGCGAGGGGCTTGGACTTCCAGCAAGCGTGCATGAGCGTGTTAGATAGGAGTGAATGGAGACGAATGATACTTGGGACCTGACGATCTGTTGAGTGTGAGCAGGGTAATATTTAGTGAAGGGATTCAGGGAAACCGGTTATTTTCATATAGTCGGACTTGAGTCCTGGAAATGGGAAGTACAATGCCTGCACTTTAAAGGACTGGTTTGGGATATTGGCAGTTTGGAGGGATATGTTGTGTATCTTTATACGTATATGTTTCTAAACTGTTGTATTCTGAGCACCTCTGCAAAAGCAGTGATAATGTGTGAGTGTGGTGAAAGTGTTGAATGATGATGAAAGTATTTTCTTTTTGGGGATTTTCTTTCTTTTTTGGGTCACCCTGCCTCGGTGGGAGACGACCGACTTGTTGAAAAAAAAAAAAAATAATGTTAAACTAATTAGTTATTCTTAAATAAAAATATTTTTTTGTGAATATTTTTTGCAACTCTGGAATGGATTAATTGTATTTACATTATTTCTTATGGGAAATATTGCTTAGGCTTTTGGCCGTTTCAAGTTTAGGCGTAGCTCCTGGAACAGATTACAGCCGAAACTTGGGGTTCCACTGTACTTCTGATGAGCACAATGGAAAGCCAAAGGGTGACCTGGCTAAGTTGACGTTGTAGGCAGAGAAGTGAAAGATATAATCCAATATGAACAACTGTAAGGCTCTAATCCTAGAAAAAGATTTCCCACAAAAATCAGATGAAGGCAGTGAATTTGCAATTTCTACAAAGATGTAGAATCAAGGGCACGTGATTCAAGAGCACAAGCAGAAAACAGGAATAAAGAAAGGAGATATAAATAATGTGCTGAAAGTACATGACCAAAACAGGACTCGCAGCAATGAATTCAAATTGGACAAATTTAGATTTTGAAAGGATATAAGAAAGTACTGGTTTGACAATAGAGTTGTAGAAGAGTGGAACAAGCTTCCAGGTAGCATCACAGAGGCAAGAATTTTGGGTAGCTTTAAATACAGGTTGTATGGGTATACGAGTGGGAGTAGTTGGACGAGTGTTAAACCTGCCTACCATGTACCAATAGGCCTACAGAAGTCTTTCAGTCTTATGTTCAGTGGCTTCTGTGCTGACAGTGTTCACTGGCTCCTACAGTGACAATGGGTCCTGCATTGACAGATTTTTATTAGTTCCATAATAGCAGTACTCTATGGCTCCTGTATTACAAAATACATATATGTACATACAAAACACAATAATCTGAAGGCCATAGGTTTCATAGCATTTCAGGTAAAACTTAGACTATACATAAAATCTACGTAGTTTAATTTATTTTTTTAAAGTTCTGTTACACAGCATTAATAGTTACTTAATAAGAACAGTTGATAGTGAAATGGCTCCCATGATTACAGTGTTCAGTTGCTCCTACGTTGACAACATTTGGGAGTTCCAAGGTTGACTGTGTGCAGTGGCTCCCATGCTGACGGTGTGCAGTGGCTCCCGGGCTGACAGTGTGCCATGACTCCCGTGCTGATGGTGTGTCGTGGCTCCCGTGCTGACGGTGTGCCATGGCTCCTGTGCGGACAGTGTGCCGTGGCTCCCATGCTGGTGTGCCGTGGCTCCCATGTTGGTGTGCCATGGTTTCCGTGTTGATGGTGTGCCATGGCTCCCACGTTGACGGTGTGCCATGGCTCCCGTGTTGACGGCATGCAGTGGCTCCAATGTTGACTGTGCGCAGTGACTCCGATGTAAAGGTTTATGTATTCTAGTGAACATAATCTAAAACCAAGGCAATGAATTTGCATTGGAGAAAAGTGTAGTTAGGTGCGATATGAATACGTAAACAAATGGAAAACAAGAATAAATAAAGAGGATATAAATTATATACTGAAAATATTAAACCAAGACAGTACTGACAGCAATATATTCAAGCTGGAGAAATTTAGATCTAGAAAGGATATAGGAAAGCACTGGTTTGGCAATAGAGTTGTGGATGAAACTCTCAGGTAGCATTACTGAAACAAGAACTTTGTGTAACTTTAAAAATATGTTGTAAAATTACACAAGTGGGTGGTGGGTTGGTGTAAGACCTGCCTAGCATGGACCTGCTGCAGTGCTCTTCCTTTATTACGTTCTTAACAGTGTTAGTGGCTTTTGTATTGTTTACTGGCTTCAGTGCTGACAGCATTCAGTGGCTCGTTTTAGTAAGCTTATTTAGGTACAAGTACAGATAAGCAGTTATACAAATTTAGATGATTACAAATGTCATACAGAGTAACATGTCAATTACCTAGGATAACCCAAAAAAGTCTAAGTGACTTATATCTATTGGGGTGCCTGATACAGCAGAACTTAGTTATTGACCAGAACATTAAATAGAAATAATCAGCTTAAAATACAGAAATTTACTCTCCCCCCTTTCTGAAGCTTCACTCATTAGGAACTTTTTAGTTCTCTTCCTGAACTGGCTCTGATATGTTCAGGCAATCCCTTCTATCCTTTATTGTTCTATAACAAGTGTTTGAGACCTGACCATCTACTGTGCTACTACAAAATTGTGGCAGTGTTCAATGGCTCTAGCGTTGACAGTTTTCAGTGGCTCCTGTACTTGACAATGTTCAGTAGGTTGTGTTGTCAATGTTAAGTGGCTGCTGTTGTTGACTCGTGGCTCGTCTGATTGTTGGCTAGGTTTTGTTCGTGAGTAAGACATATTTGTGGGTATAAAGACATTTGCCGGGGATACTTTTTGTCCACTAGGGACTTCTTCAGTCCAATAATGTCTCAATACCCACATATGTCTTTCTTACATACTCTTAGGCGTTTATTAAACACCAAGTTTGACTTTCTTGAGGTTCCTGTTGGAAGTGTTCAGTGGCTCCTATTTTGCGTGCTCGGTTGCTCGTTTCTTCATTATTAAGTGGCTCGTGTGTTGACAGTATGATAGCTTTATGCTGACAGTTCAGTAGCTTGTGTCGACTATTGAGGCTCCAGATGATTGTTAGGTGGCTCCTGTTTGATGGCTCCCGTGTTCGGTACCTCGTTTAACTGCCTATTTGCCTTGATAGAGTTGGGTGTAAACTCTTACTCTTGTTCCTGTGCTCAGACAGCTACACCCGTGGACAATTTACATTGTTAAGGAAGATATAACATCCGAGTTATCGAGGTGAGCCACCAGTTCTGCCTTCATTCACAGGAAGTCTGAATTCTTTGTTCCATGCATTATCCCATTCTTACTGTTCCAGATGGTTTTAACTTACGTGAAGAGAATGAACATGAATAATAAACGTCAGCTGATATTTCCGTGTTGTCTGACAATGCCTCTCTTCATGCATGACACTTGACTAGAGGTTTTTCAAATTCTTCCCAGTGGCAGAGCTTGAGCGTGCCACATAAGGATTACGAAACTTGCCATAAAACCTAAATAATACTGAATTACAACTCTTGACAGTGGGTCTGTTGCTAACTACATGACTTTGGACAGATTATCCCGGCTAAATAATAACATATATGTTTTTAGTTTGCGGTAATTTCATAGAAAAATATGAGAGAAACTCACCACACATGTGCTGTCAGCAGCGAGCCTGGGATGGATGCGCACCTTTCCTGCGCATTAAACTCTACCTTTATATAAAAAAAATATTATGATGACGTTCCGCCCATTAATTGTCTAACTCAGTTCAACGATCTTGTAAACAATTCCTTACTGCTGTATCTTGCTCAGTGGACAGAACGTTGGGGCCTTGTCCCTCAGCTTAATATATATATATATATATATATATATATATATATATATATATATATATATATATATATATATATATATATATATATATAACAACGCATTTTTGTAGTCATCGTTTCCATCCATTAATTTTGTTACTGAATATATTACTCTGGATGCATTCTGAATACATTATTCATATATTATGCTACTTTATCTCTTTTTAGGTAATATAATAGTTTTGCCCAGCTTGTGGACCCAAGACTTGCCACTCGCAGGAAGGGTATAGAACATAATAAAGCAATTATACAGGTATACTGTAATGCTGCTCCCGTTGATATGCTGGGAAACACATCTACAAAATGTGGTCCACTATGAGGGTAAATGTATATATAATATTGCATCCTGGTGATTTCATCACTGTTACAGTGGTGCCAAATATACAGTATTTTCTTTTTCAAAGAAAAAAGCAGAGAAAATTCCTATTCTTTAATAAGTAATTACCTTGTGATAATGCTGACCTAAAGGCCTTCTACTCTCTCATAACTGGAACTTGTAATTTTCATTCATGTCATCTCTTTCTCACATAACCATATCTGGGAAAATAACGCACTTGTCGATAATGGATGAAATTTATTGGAATTAGGTGAAATTTCAGGAAAGTAGAATAAAAGGCAGAATATGGTATTGTGTTTTATCCATCGTAATATAATTCAAGGGCAACAATAATTATATATTACATTCATAATATGCGAGGATTGACAGAATTGACTTTCATTTGGTTGTGGTGTCATGAGACTTGTTTACACACAGGGAAGTAGGAGGAGGATCCCGCTTATCTCTCATTTTCACTCAAAAGTCCTCAATTACTGACATTAACAAGTGCTGAAACTTCATTAAGCATGTGTGCAGCAGCAGCAGCAGCAGGAGCTGGTGGCACCCGCAGCTACAACTTTAAAATAGTTCTTCTGGGGGAAGGTTGTGTGGGCAAGACTAGTCTAGTGCTCAGATACGTCGAGGACAAGTTTAATGACCGTCACATAACTACCCTGCAGGTGCATTCTCATTACAAGTCTCACTTTTATTTTCTTTTGCCTTTTGTGATGGAGAATGGCTTTTTCAATAAAATACTGGATTTACTGAGATAAGCCTGTTATGAGTGCCGTTTTTGAAGGTTGCGTTAACCTTGTTACTTTGGGAACTCAATTTAAATAAATTTTATCACTTATTTTTTTAAGTTAGCCTAGGTTAAATGTTGATGTTTTAAACAATGTCATGCATATAACTATGCTTAATGCAGACATAGTTGCAATTAAAAACGCCAATCTGTAAAAACTATATTTAACCTGAATATGTTCGTGCATGATAGTGGCATTCTTTGTGCATACCAATACATTTTTACATGTAAACTTAAGTTTGTATGCTACACAAAGAAATAAAAATTTCAATTTTTAATGTTACGTTTGCGTTGCACTGTAAGAACAGAGGATCACAGCAGTAGGCCTACTGGCCCATGAGAGGCAGGTCCTAATTTCATTTATTTATTTATTTATTTATTTATTTATTACCAATTTGAGCACACATACAGAGGTACAAAAAAATACAGATAAGAGCAGCATGCCAAAGCCACTTATACTATGCATAGCATTATGGGCTGGCTTAAAATTAACTTAAGATTAACTAAGCAATGATGAAATCAGTGATAAAACATTAATGTAAACAGATTACTATAAAGCACAAGTGAGTATTACAAAGACAGGTCATATGGTTGCATTCAGTCATATGAAGGATTCTGTTAGGTAGTGTATATTTAAAAAATAATAAAGTTAGATTCGGTTTTAGGTTTAACATTTATGTGATATAATTGTGAGAAACATTTAAGATATACAATTTATAAGGTTCAGTTATTCAGTATTTATTTGGTTTTGAGTGAGTAAGTGATCTTTGAGAAGAGACTTGAATTTATAAACAGGTAGTGTTTCTTTTATATTTACAGGTAATGAATTCCAGATTTTAGGGCCTTTTATGTGCATTGAGTTTTTGCATAGTGTGAGATGGACACGAGGAACATCAAAGAGTGATCTGTGCCTTGTGTTATGGTCGTGTGTTCTGTTGAGGTTGGCAAGGAGATGTTTGAGGGGAGGGTTAATATCAGAGTTAAGTGTTCTATGTATGTAATAGGTGCAGTAATAAGTATGGATGTTTTGTATGGTGAGTAGGTTTAGTGCATTGAATATTGGTGGAGTGTGCTGCCTGTAGTGAGAATTTGTTACCATTCTAACTGCAGCCTTTTGTTGGGTAATTAATGGTCTGAGATGGTTAACTGTTGTTGAGCCCCATGCACAAATTCCATAGGTGAGATAGGGGTAAATAAGAGAGTGATATAGGGCCAGGAGGACTGACTGTGGAACATAGTACCGTATCTTCGATAGTATGCCTACAGTCTTGGAAATTTTCTTAGAAATTTGTTGTATATGTGTATGAAATTTGAGTCTATTATCAAGGTGGATTCCTAAGAATTTTCCCTCTGTTAGCTTTGTGATAGGTGATCCGTTTATCATTATGTTAAGAGGGACATCTGTAGCTCTGTTACCAAACTGAATGAAGTAGGTTTTGTCAATGTTTAGTGTAAGTTTGTTAGTCCTCATCCAGGTAGATATTTTCTGTAATTCGGTATTTACAGTATTGGCTAGTGTGACTGGGCTCGGGTGAGAGAAGACGTATGTAGTGTCATCTGCAAATAGTGTGGGAAGAGAGAAGAGGGGACCGAGTGAACCGAAAATATTTACATTATTACTGTATTGTTGAATGTGAGTTACTCGATTGTATTACCTACCTCAGTCAGTGTATAAGTCACTTAACACTCGAATTGGGATATCCAAGGTTAAGTCTTCATAATATATTCCATGTATCTAAATTTGCTATATTTGATATGTTACAAATATAAATTAATAAAATTGGTAATGTAATTCTACATGTACCATAATGCTAAACTCAGGCATGTGGCAAACTTAATTATGCAAATACTGAGTATTTGCTTCAATGATTGTGCCATTTGTTTCACTCATTAGTGATGGGATAGAGGCTCAAATGACCCAGATAGAAATAAACCAAACAGAATAACCTTTTATATTTGTTACAGGCTTCGTTCTTGACAAAGCGAATAAATCTGAGTGGTAAACGAGTTAACCTAGCTATATGGGATACAGCTGGACAAGAGAGGTTTCATGCTTTAGGACCTATATATTACAGAGAATCCCATGGAGCTGTTCTGGTTTATGATATAACAGATGAAGATTCATTTCAGAAGGTAAGTTACCTTTTTCAATAAAAGTACTGAAAATACCAGAGTTAGTTTCTGAAAACCTTTAGATCTGCAGACAGTAATTAAGAGACATTTAAGATCTACAAGACACAACCAGGGCCAGCTTCCATTTTTTATAGAAGTTTTTAGTTTAATTTTTTTTTTTTAACAAGTCGGCCGTCTCCCACCGAGGCAGGGTGACCCAAAAGTAAAGAAAATCCCCAAAAAAGAAAATACTTTCATCATTCAAAACTTTCACCTCACTCACACATAATCCCTGTTTTTGCAGAGGTGCTCAGAACACAACAGTTTAGAAGCATATACGTATAAAGATACACAACATATCCCTCCAAACTGCTAATATCCCAAAACCCCTCCTTTAGAGTGCAGGCATTGTACTTCCCATTTCCAGGACTCAAGTCCGGCTATATAAAAATAACCGGTTTCCCTGAATCCCTTCACTAACTAATTACCCTGCTCACACTCCAACAGATCGTCAGGTCCCAAATACAGTGGACCCCCACGTAACGATCACCTCCGAATGCGACCAATTATGTAAGTGTATTTATGTAAGTGCGTTTGTACGTGTATGTTTGGGGGTCTGAAATGGTCTAATCTACTTCACAATATTCCTTATGGGAACAAATTCGGTCAGTACTGGCACCTGAACATACTTCTGGAGTGAAAAAATATCGTTAACCGGGGGTCCACTGTACCATTCGTCTCCATTCACTCCTATCGAACACGCTCATGCACGCCTGCTGGAAGTCCAAGCCCCTCGCCCACGAAACCCCCCTTACCCCTTCCTTCCAACCTTTTCGAGGAAGACCCCTACCCTGCCTTCCTTCCTCTACAGATTTATACGCTCTCCATGCCATTCTCCTTTGATCCATTCTCTCTCAATGACCAAACCACCTCAACAACCCCTCTTCAGCCCTCTGACTAATACTTTTATTAACTCCACACCTTGTCCTAATTTCCACACTCCGAATTTTCTGCATAATATTTACACCGCACATTGCCCTTAGACAGGACATCTCCTCTGCCTCCAACCGCCTCCTCACTGTTGCATTCACAACCCAAGCTTCACACCCATATAAGAGTGTTGGTACTACTATACTTTCATACATTCCCTTCTTTACCTCCATAGATAACGTTTTTTTTTTTACTCCACATATACCTCAACGCACCACTCACCTTTTTTTCCTTCATCAGTTCTATGATTAACCTCATCCTTCATAAATCCATCCGCCGACACATCAACTCCCAAGTATCTGAAAACATTCACTTCTTCTATACTCCTCCTCCCCAATTTGATATCCAATTTTTCTTATCTGAATCATTTGATACCCTCATCACCTTACTCTTTTCTATGTTCACTTTCAACTTTATACCTTTACACACACTCCCAAACTCATCCTCTAACCTTTGCAATTTTGTTTTAGAATCTCCCATAAGCACAGTATCATCAGCAAAAAGTAACTGTGTCAATTCCCATTTTGTATTTGATTCCCCATAATTTAATGCCACCCCTCTCCCGAACACCCTAGCATTTACTTCTTTTACAACCCCATATATAAATATATTAAACAACCATGGTGACATTACACATCCCTGTCTAAGACCTACTTTTACCGGGAAGTAGTCTCCCTCTCTTCTACACACCCTAACCTGAGCCTCACTATCCTCATAAAAACTCTTTACAACATTTAGTACCTTAACACCTATTCCATATGTACTTGCAACATCTGCCACATTGCTCCCCTATCCACTCTATCATATGCCTTTTCTAAATCCATAAATGCAATAAAAGCTTCCTTACCTTTATCTAAATACTGTTCACATATATGCTTCAATGTAAACACTTGATCTACACATCTACCCACTCTGAAACCTCCTTGCTCATCCGCAATCCTACATTCTGTCTTACCTCTAATTCTTTCAATAATAACCCTACCGTACACTTTTCCTGGTATACTCAATAAACTTATTCCTCTATAATTTTTACAGTCTCCTTTGTCCCCCTTCCTTTATATAAAGGGACTATACATGCTCTCTGCCAATCCCTAGGTACCTTCCCCTCTTTCATACATTTATTAAACAAAAGTACCAACCACTCCAACACTATATCCCCCCCTGCTTTTAACATTTCTTTCATGATCCCATCAGTTCCAGCTGCTTTACCCCCTTTCATTCTCCGTAATGCCTCACGTACCTCCACCACACTTACATTCTGCTCTTCTTCACTCCTAAAAGATGGTACACCTCCCTGGCCAGTGCATGAAATTACCGCCTCCCGTTCTTTCTCAACATTTAAAAGTTCCTCAAAATATTCTCGCCATCTACCTAATACCTCCCTCTCCCCATCTACTAACTCCCCTACTCTGTTTTTAACTGACAAATCCGTATGTTCTCTAGGCTTTCTTAACTTGTTTAACTCACTCCAAATTTTTTTCTTATTTTCATTAAAATTTCTTGACAGTGCCTCTCCCACTCTATCATCTGCTGTCCTTTTGCACTCTCTCACCACACTCTTCACCTTTCTTTTACTCTCCATATATTCTGCTCTTCTTGTAACACTTCTGCTTTGTAAAAACCTCTCATAAGCTAACTTTTTCTCTTTTATCACACCCTTTACTTCATCATTCCACCAATCACTCCTCTTTCCTCCTGCCCCCACCCTCCTATAACCACAAACTTCTGCCCCCACATTCTAATACTGCATTTTTAAAACTCGTCCAACCCTCTTCAACCCCCCGCTACTCATCTTTGCACTAGCCCACCTTTCTGCCAATAGTCGCTTATATCTCACCCAAACTTCCTCCTCCCTTAGTTTATACACTTTCACTTTCCTCCTACTTGTTGTTGCCACCTTCCTCTTGTCCCATCTACCTCTTACTCTAACTGTAGCTACAACTAAATAATGATCTGATATATCAGTTTCCCCTCTATAAACATGTACATCCTGGAGCCTACCCATTAACCTTTTATCCACCAATACATAATCTAACAAACTACTTTCATTACATGCTACATCATACCTTGTGTATTTATTTATCCTCTTTTTCATAAAATATGTATTGCTTATTACCAAATCTCTTTCTACACATAGCTCAATTAAAGGCTTCCCATTTACATTTACCCCTGGCACCCCAAATTTACCTACTACTCCTTCCACAACATTTTTACCCACTTTAGCATTGAAATCCCCAACCACAAGTACTCTCACACTTGGTTCAAAACTCCCCACGCATTCACTCAACATTTCCCAAAATCTCTCTCTCTCTCTCTCTCTCTCTCTCCTCTACACTTCTCTCTTCTCCAGGTGCATATACACTTTCTATAACCCACTTTTCACATCCAACCTTTATTTTACTCCACATAATCCTTGAATTAATACATTTATAGTCCTTTTCCTGCCATATCTTATCCTTCAACATTATTGCTACTCCTTCTTTAGCTCTAACTCTATTTGAAACCCCTGACCTAATCCCATTTATTCCTCTCCACTGAAACTCTTCCACCCCCTTCAGCTTTGTTTCACTTAAAGCCAGGACATCCAGCTTCTTCTCATTCATAACATCCACAATCATCTCTTTCTTATCATTTGCACAACATCCACACACATTCAGACTTCCCACTTTGACAATTTTCTTCTTATTCTTTTTAGTAATTATTACAGGAAAAGGGGTTACTAGCCCATTGTTCCCAGCATTTTAGTTGACTTTTACAACACGCATGGCTTACGGAGGAAAGATTCTTATTCCACTTCCACATGGATATAAAAGGAAAAGTAATAACACCAAGAACTATTAAGATAAAGTCAAAGAAAACTCGGATGAGTGTGTATAAATAAACGTGTACATGTATATGTAGTGTGACCTAAGTGTAAGTAGAAGTAGCAAGACATACCTGTAATCTTGCATATTTATGAGACAGACAAAAAAAACACCAGCAATCCTACCATCATGTAAAACAATTACAGGCTTTTGTTTTACATTCACTTGGCAGGACAGTAGTACCTCCCTGGGTGGTTGCTTTCTACCAACCTACTACCTACAAAAAAATTATATAATTTTATTTATTTCCATTGGTATATTTTATTCAAATCTGCCACACCTTTCTCACCTCCCATACCCCAATTTTTTATGTGGAATTAGTTTTTTAATCTGTTCACTTGTTTCATGTTGATTAAAACAATACTTTGTCTCCTGTTTTTTTTTTTTTTCTGACACTAAGTTTTTGGCTCTTGCCTAAACTTTGGCACCCTGACTCAGTAATATGTTCACTCTCCCATGTAGCCAATCCAGCTTACAATCCTTACAGAAATTTTTTTAGTGCTAGAGTATTGCCCATTTATTTTTTGATGTACTATATATAAAAAAAAATACTTGTGGTATATAGTACCTTAACTTCCATCATCAGAGGTAAGCTATGGCTACCACAACTGCAGGCTTTCTAGCAAGATGTCCAGTAGTCTGTTTTGTCGGAAATACAGTTCGGTGCAGTAATTGGAGACTATCTCTACATAGCACGGGAATTTAATGTAAATGGATTGTTTGTTTTTAGGGCAAGAGATAAAGTAGGTATATCAAGTAAATGTTGGGTCATATAATTTTCTACCAGAACCAGTTTTTCTTCTAAGAAACATTTTAATATTTTATTGAATACTTAACCTTTAATATTCGTATTTTTTGGATCCAACCTACATTGTTCATTTAGGTTTGCCTGGTCATTCTAATACAATCAGTGCAATATCAAGTTTTGTTTATCCTATGTGACTTTATAGAAAGAGTAGCCCTCTAGCTTTCTTCTTTTATGTAAGGATTTCTCCATCCAAAATCCATTTGCACATTTGCTGCACATTCATCTGTTTCTTCTTATTCCAAGGTCAAGAATTGGGTGCGTGAATTGCGAAGAATGCTGGGAAATGATATATGCCTTGTTATAGCAGGAAACAAGATTGATATGGAAAAAGAACGGCACGTCTCCTTGGAAGAGGCAGAGGCGTAAGCAGTTTTTGCATAGTATTTCTTTGCATTATGTAGTATGTAGGCAATAGCTTTTCCTTCATTTTTCTCTTTACTTCAGTTCAGTTTTCCTCCTTTTTCTCTCGTCCTACCTCCTGCTTATACCCCTTCTTCCATCCCTCCCTGCCTCTTCCTCCTTACTATTTCCTTCCCTTCCCTCTTATCATCTCTTCCTTGTATCTCTTCCTCCCTCCCTTTTACCGCCTCCTCCCTCCATCCCTTTTACTACTACCTCTTTCCGTCTCTTACTACTTCATCCATCCCTCTTACTACTTCCTTCCTCCATCCCTCTTATCTATTTCTTCTCTGCATCCCTCTTCCCTACAGTCCTACTCCCTACAGCCCTCCTGCCTACTCCTCCCTATAGCCCTACTGCCTACTTTTCCCTGCCTACTTTTTTAACCTGCTTCTCCAGACCACCATCTCCCTACCTGCTCCTCCAGACTACCACCTCCCTACCTGCTCCTCCAGACCTCCTTCCCACCTGTAGCTCTCTACATTCTTTGTACCTATTCCTCTCTACATTCATCTTACTTGCTCCTCCCTGTATTCCACTTTCTTAGTTCACCCTACATTCCTTCTACCTCCCTCTCCATACATTTCTACCTGCTCCTCCCTAATCCTCCTTACTTTCCCCTCCCTATATTCCTCCTACCTTCTCTTCGTAATTCTTATCTAGTTCTCTCGGCATGCTCGTCCCTACCCCTCTCTGCCTTGCATTCCTGCTATCTATCCCTCCCTACATTCCTCCTACCTACTCCACCATGCCCCTTCCTATATTCCTCCTTCCTACCCCACCATGCCCCTCCCTGTATTCCTCCTACTTATTCCCACATCCCTCATGCCTACTCCCGCATCTCTCACACCCACTTCCGCATTCCTCATCACTCCTTCCTAGATTTCTCTTGCATTCTTTTTCCTTGGATTCCTCCTACCTACTATTCTCTCCATTTCCCTTTCTCCTCCTCCTCCTCCTCCTCTACTTACCCCCCTTTTTCATCCCAAATGTTGGATCACCCCTTTTCATTGCTCTTTTTTTTTTTTAACATACTGGTCATCTCCCATCTAGGTAAGGTAACTTGAAAAAGAAGAAAACTTTATAAAGTTTTTCTTGTTACATTTAGTAATTTAAACAGGAGAAAGGGTTGCTGTCCCCTTGCTCCTGGTATTTTAGTAACCTCTTATGGCATGTATGGCTTGAGTAGAAAAGATTCTTGTAAACTTCCCCATGGAGATGAAAGGAAATTAATAAACAATGTATGTCAAAGGCCCTAAAATCTGGAACACCCTACCTGAGAACTCTAGAACTGCAGACACATTCATCACCTTCAAAACTACCATTAGAAAACATCTTATCTCCCTGATACACCCCATCAACTAACTACACGAATACCACCTGGTGGTTCACACTTACACTCACTCACCCATTTGACCATAAACAGAAATATTAATCTCAATCTTAAAATAATGAATCCTATGATACTCCAATACTGAAACTATGTACTGTGCCAAAACAAAAGCATTCACATTGCTAAACTCACAAACTAGTATTTAGTCACTTAGCCATAATACCAACTTAACTCATAATTTGTAATATTTTAAAATAAAGAATTAAACTAAGTCTGCCCGAAATGCCTAGCCATGCTAGGCGTTCTAGTGGTACACTCTGTAATCATTATTTAACTACATGTAAACCACACAACAACCAAATTCTGTAAATTCAACATTGTAATCTTTATAGAGAATAAACTTTGAATTAAAGGGCTAGTAACCACTTCTCCTGTATAAGTTACTAAATTTAAAAAGAAAAACTTTAATTTTTCTTGTTAGGTCACCCTGCCTCTGTGGGATACGGCTGGTTTATTAAATAAAAAAAAATGACTTCAGATGGGTATGTATTAGGGATGTGCCAAAGCATCGGTATCAGCAGCTATTGGCCATTTTTTATGGTATTAGCTAAAAAAGCAACCATTGCTTTTTAATTAAAATATTAATATTATGTATGCTTAAAAATATAAACAATAACACTCTGCGTCATGCTTGTGAGAGTTACTTGTGCGCGTACACACACACACACACACACACCACACACACACACACACACACACACACACACACACACAGAAATGAGGCGCTAAACTACAGACCTGTGTCTCTGACATGTATTGTGTGCAAAGTCATGGAGAAGATTATCAGGAGGAGAGTGGTCGAACACCTGGAATGGAACACGATTATAAATGAAAACCAGCATGGGTTCATGGAAGGCAAATCTTGTATCACAAACCTCCTGGAGTTTTATGACAAGGTAACAGAAGTAAGACACGAGAGAGAGGGGTGGGTTGATTGCGTTTTCCTAGACTGCAGGAAGGCCTTTGACACAGTTCCCCACAAGAGATTAGTGCAGAAGCTGGAGGATCAGGCGCATGTAACGGGGAGGGCACTGCAGTGGATCAGGGAATACCTGACAGGGAGGCAGCAACGAGTCATGGTACGTGAAGAGGTATCACAGTGGGCGCCTGTGACGAGCGGGGTCCCACAGGGGTCGGTTCTAGGGCCAGTGCTATTTTTGATATATGCGAACAACATGATGGAAGGAATAGACTCTGAAGTGTCCCTATTCGCAGATGATGTGAAGTTGATGAGAAGAATTAAATCGGATGAGGATGAGGCAGGACTGCAAAGAGACCTGGACAGGCTGGACATGTGGTCCAGAAACTGGCTTCTCGAATTCAATCCTGCCAAATGCAAAGTCATGAAGATTGGGGAGGGGCAAAGAAGACCGCAGACAGAGTATAGGCTAGGTGGACAAAGACAAACAACCTCACTCAGGGAGAGAAAGACCTCGGGGTGACCATAACACCGAGCACGTCACCGGAGGCACACATAAAACCAAATAACTGCTGCAGCATACGGGCGCCTGGCAAACCTGAGAATAGCGTTCCGATACCTTAATAAAGAATCGTTAAAGGGACACTGTACACTGTGTATGTTAGGCCCATATGGAGTATGCAGCACCAGTCTGGAACCCACACCTGGTCAAGCACGTCAAGAAGTTAGAAAACGTACAAAGGTTTGCAACAAGGCTAGTCCCAGAGCTCAGGGGAATGTCGTACGAGGAAAGGTTGGGGGAAAAATTGAACTGACGACATGGAGGACAGAAGGGTCGGGGGGAGACATAAATAACGACATACAAGATACTGCGGGGAATAGATAAGGGGACAGGGGATAGGTTTGTTCCAGAGAGGGGACACAGGAACAAGGGGTCACAACTGGAAGCTGAAGACTCGGGACTAGTCACAGGGACGTTAGGAAGTATTTCTTCAGTCATAGAGTCGTCAGGAAAGTGGAATAGCCTAGCAAGTGAAGTAGTGGAGGCAGGAACCTTTACATAGTTTTAAGAAGAGGTATGATAAAGCTTAGGAGCAGAGAGAGAGAGGACCTAGTAACAATCAGTGAAGAGGGGCGGGGCCAGGAGCCGAGTTCCGACCCCTGCAAACCACAATTAGGTGAGTTACACACACACATCACACACACACACACACACACACACCACACACACACACACACAAAACACACAAACACAAAACACACACACACACACACACCACACACACACAAAACCGACGACCCTGTAACCTTGTATATTAGGCCCAAAATTGGAGTATGCAGCACCAGTTTGGAACCCACACCTACCCAAAGCATGTAAGAAACTAGAGAAAATGCAAAAGGTTTGCAAAAAAGACTAGTCCCAGAGCTAAGAGGTATGTCCTACGAGTAGAGGTTAAGGGAAATCAACCTGACGACACTGGAGGACAGGAGAGATGGGGGACATGATAACGACATACAAAATACTGAGAGGAATTGACAAAAGGTAGACAAAGACAGGATGTTCCAGAGATGGGACACCCGGCAACAAGGGGACACAGTTGGAAGTTGAAGACACAGATGAATCACAGGGATGTTAGGGAAATATTTTTTTCAGCCCCCAGAGTAGTCAGGAAGTGGAATAGTTTGGGAAGCGATGTAGTGGAGGCAGGATCCATACATAGCTTTAAGCAGAGGCATGATAAAGCTCACGGTTCAGGGAAAGTGACCTAGTAGGGTCAGTGAAGAGGCGGGGCCAGGAGCTTGGACTCGATCCGCAACCTAATGGCGAGTCACACACAAACCCCCACCCACCACACCAAAACCAAACAAACCCCAAACCACCACCCAAAACCCCCAAAAAATTTAAAAAATAAAATTTTAAAAAACCCACCACCCAAAAAAACACAACCCAACACCCATCCAAAAACACCACACCCACACAACAAAACAAACCCCCCCCAACACCCCCATTACCCCCAAACCCACACCCCACCCAACCCCAAACACCCAAAAAAAAACCCCCCACACAAAAAAACCAAACCACCCCCCCAAAACCCCCAAAACCCCCACCCACACAAACACAACCCAAAAACCCCCCAACAAACACCCTACAACCACCACCCACACACCCCACACAAACACCCACCCAACACAAAACCCAAAAACACAACCAACCCACTTTAACAACAAAAACCCCTTTTCCCCCCCACACAAACAACCACACCCAAACCCCAACCCAACCCAACCCCAAACCAAACCCCAACACCACCCCCACCCCCAAAAAACCACCCCCACACACACCCCACAACCACACCCCACACACAAACACACAACAAACCCCAAAACACCACACCACCACCCAAACCCCCAAAACCCCCCACCAAAACACACACCACCCCCAACACACCACACAACCCCCCAACCACACACCCACACACCCCACACCACCACCCCCCACCCCACACACACACCACACAACCACCCCACAAACAAACCCCCAAACCCAACACACACACACAAAACCCCAACCCAACACCCAACAAAAAACCCCCAACCACTCCCCACAAACACCACTCCCCCCCAACCCCCAAAACCCAAAAACCCCCACAACA